TGTGAAAATCGTGTTTTTTTACTCATACTTCACTATTATAGAAAAATTTGCCTCACGACCTTACTGTGTTGGATCGCTGGGCTCGCTGGACTTTGGTGGTATAGATTCAAAGCACTTGACTGGCTAGGTGGGCTTTGCTGGACATTGTTGGACATTGTTGGCTCGGTTAGCGTGGGGGCTCGATTTAATTTGTTCGCATGGTGTACATTGGTGGCTCGACTCACTTTGCTGGTTTTGCGTATATTGCTGGCACGCTGTGTCATCAGCAGGATGTTGTGTTGCAGTGCCCCCATTCGGATTGATGCTGTGCCTTGAGCGTGGCCAGCACTGAAGACCTGCATATGTTCCCATTCTTGCTGAAGAGTCCTTTGGGGAGATAGAAGCGGTGGGACTTATCCCAGCATGTCCAAGTGCTCTGCGGGCAGGTGAATGAAGTGTTGGCGTCACCATGGGCAACCCTGCAAATGCTCACTGAGTGCGTAAGACAGCGATCGGTTTCCTCCGTCGGGTACCTGCCCTCATAGCGACAAACTACGCATTTTCGTTTTCTTCTGCTCTTGTCCTTAAATAGTTGCTTAGAAGACATCACATCGCACTGTGTTTGGTGACTGGAAACACTTGCCACAGTGCAGCGACTACTTGGTGGAGTAGCACACCCTGTTGCTCCCGTTTCTCTGGCAATGCTGCTACCATAAGCCATCTTGCCGTCACTCGGCGCTTCTTTCCATTTTCCCGAAATCAACTCAGACACTAACTCCGTAATGAACGTTCTGTGGGGGTCTCGATCCTTTGAAGTATCAATTGCCATTCGACGAGTCAAATAAGCGTTGGCACGTGCGATATCGACGAGTGCCAGCGCTAATTTTTTATGCCACTGTTTAAAGTAATGGCCGTCAGTGAGCGAAAATCTTGCACGTATCTGGTCTAACCGATCAACACCTTGCATATGCTGGTTGTACTCTAAAATACAGGTTGGAGCCGGGAACGGGAGACTTGTTGCTCCGATTCGGCGAGTTACCGTCGTTGTTGTGGACGGATCAGCATTCGTGACCATCGTCACAATGCTACCGTCACACCAGGACGCTGCGAGCACGTTATGATTAACATCAACAGACTCTTGATAATCACCCCGTGTGGACTCTTCTTTTTGTAGGATAGTGTGCTTCGGAAAATGCTTGCTCCCCCCGCGCACTGTTCCTCGTCCATACAATCCTTTCAGACGTAGATCCATCAACAATTGGACACTTGTATAGTAGTTGTCCATGTTAATAATCCGACGGGAATGAAAGTAGGGCCGTACTACTTCGATTACATGCTTGCGAACTTGTTGGACACCGTCTAACTCCTCGCGTAGCTGCTGCATCTCGGCTGGGGTTACTACATGCTGCAGGCGATCAGCAATTATGCTACTGCTGCAGTGGAGACGATAATTCAGAGCAATCCATGTGGTCGAGCAGCACACCACGTACATTCGGAAATTATATTTCTACCCGGTTTTTGTGGGTTGTAGACAATGAGGTGCCGCCCGTAGCGAGACCGACAAGCAATGCTGGCTTCGTCCAGAGCAAGATTACGTCCTACTTCAACATATTTTCCACCGGTACATTTGAGTAGATTCAACAAGGGTCGAATTCGTGCTGCAGGATCTCGTTCGATCGCGCCACCAGGCTCAACTCGAAAACTCAAACAACTTCGAATTAACTTGAATCTACGCAGACTCATCACAGTGTCCAAACTGGTAGATGCCCCACCAAAAATCGCATCTTCAGTCTGTTGCCCCCAATAGTTAGAATATTCTCCTTTGTCGGTAAGGGTCATGTAAAACATGATGCCGAGAAAGGTCATAAGTTCTTCAATGGTGAACGGTTTGGTGATTCTAACCCCCTTCGCAGCTGCATACTGATTGGTCTCTAGGACAACTTGCTTCCAGAAGTAAAGTGGGATGTATGCGAAAAAACTCGAAGAGGCCGAGTGAGCAAATATATGTCTGTTTTCGGGTAGTAATTGTGTCGTAGTACTGTCATCTGGGTGAGTGTACAAGTCGCTGGGAATTTTCATTTCCACTTCGGGCTCAAAGCGCATGCTTTTCACTGCCTCAACCTCCGATAGACTCGCCGGCAAAATCCGATCCGGATTCCATTGCTCGTAATCTACTTCATCAGACGCAATTTCGAGCTCGTCAAGTGGTAAGTCTAGATTGAGCTCCCCCTCCACTACCGTATCCGTCAAATCACTCCATGCCGGCTTGTTAGGCAAGCGCATCAGAGCCTGATAATTATCGATACCCCGCTGTACAGTCGCTATTGTGAGCGCTTCCACAGCATTTTGAAACTGGGTATCAAGCCACATCACTTGCAAAATAGCCCCGTGCTTTGGTTTCTTGATACGTCGACATACTCGACCCACAATATAGGCGGTGCCTACACACCTGTAAATTTTGCTTTTGTGGTTCTGCATCCACGGTTCTTTTGACTGCGAAAATGCCACCATCTTCTTCAGCAAGAGATGCTCAATACTTGGTGTGGTTGGAGTGCGATTGTGAAATGCAGTACTTGATGCGGATTCAGTCGATGCTAATGGGGTCCCGTCGTTTCGATCTGCACAAAGCGCGCTCTGTCGTGGTGTCAGTGTCACACAAACCGACCGAGCATTTTGGCGCTGATGGCGAACCGAATCTTCGCCAATGCCACCTCCATGACATCGTCGAGTGATATTAACAACACGACCGGGAATATGATCAGGCCACCAATCTGCGCCTGACGTACAACCACTACGCTCACGACCGGGACCATCCACGACATCACCTCCACCAGCACCAGCTACGCGAGCGGCGGGACCAACATCACCACGACCAGCGAGATGCTGGCTCTGCACGGAACCACCACTACGCTCACGACCGGGACCATCCACGACATCACCTTCACCAGCACCACGACCGGCTACGCGAGCGGCGGGACCAGCATCACCACGACCAGCGAGATGCTGGCCCTGCACGGAACCACCACTATGCTCACGACCGGGACCATCCACGACATCACCTCCACCAGCACCAGCTACGCGAGCGGCGGGACCAACGTCGCCACGACCAGCGAGATGCTGGCCCTGCACGGAACCACCACTACGCTCACGACCGGGACCATCCGACATCACCTCCACCAGCACCAGCTACGCGAGCGGCGGGACCAACATCACCACGACCAGCGAGATGCTGGCCCTGCACGGAACCACCACTATGCTCACGACCGGGACCATCCACGACATCACCTCCAGCAGCACCACGACCAGCTACGCGAGCTGCGCGACCACCATCACCACGACCAGCGAGATGCTCTCCACTCGCGATACCGCTGCCAAGTCGCCGACCAGGAGGATCACCTACCTGATGGTCAGCTGTGGTGGATGGTCTTGTATCTGCTTCTGGCTGGGGCAGCTGTCCCTCGCTCTCATGCACAACTTGGGGGTTACCTGTACATATAACGTTGGTCACTATATTGCTTAGGAGCCATAATCGACGTCATTACAGAGCAGTTGTGGTACCGACAATGTTGCACGAAGTGGTTTAACACGCCTTCCTCCCCAAGCAAGAAATCCTTGCCCTCTCTTTCGTTTGCAGTGCAACCTGGAAGCACATACCGGTATCTGTTGTCAAGGCCTCGTGGCGGCTTGGACGTCCATCCAGCCGCCTTCAGCTCTCTCCACACACCATGGAAGTCTAATGTCGACGCCAAAGGAATAGCATGGCTACTATGAGCGTTAACTTCGCCTCGTGTCCGGCGTCGCTTTCGTCTGGCGTGCTATAAGTTTGCCAGCGCGCGTTTTCCCGGCATGGGAGGCACGGAACAAATTAGAAAATGAACGGCTCTAACGAATGTCTCACATCGTATCAATTATGAAAGAGCAAAAGTAATAGACTGGCTATCAAACCTAAGATTAAATATGTATTATATTTCCCAGTAATTGTTTCTTCAGTTTCGCAAGCTCGAACTTCTAGCACTACAAAAAATAAGATATATGCTCGGTTGGACCAGTCAATACTTAGAACAAGATATATGCTCGGCTGGACCAGTCAATACGTAAAACTAGATATATGCTTGGTTGGACCAGTCAATACTTAGAACAAAATATATACTCGGCTATCCTATTACAAAAGGAAGGCAATAAGATGTGATACACACTTTGACTGCAGCGATTCGGCATACCTACGCTAGCAGACGCACGTCCACTGTAGCAATCAATGAACGACTTATATTACCAATATTATAGCATGACGACGCCAGCACTACGGTAATCAATACTAGTAAGTGATAACCGGAGTTGGTGCCATTATCCAATAGCGCCTTTGGAGTCCAAAGTTTGGACTCGGTTGGGACTCCCAACTTCGGCGATTCACATGTCTATCCTCAGATACCATATGTGATGGGAAAATTGACGTTAGGAAATTTATATTTTATGATGGTTCTGATTGGCCAGTCTAAACCAATCTGACAAGCGCGCTCTTTTGCCCAATCACCGACGTGGATATTTCTGTGCAAAACGTGGCAAAATGCCGCGTTCTAGGGGCAACCTACCGTAAAATGAAACAGCGGCTGTCACGTTGTTAAGGTTCGGATGTCGCAGGGGTGCCCATCACCACGTCAAAACGCGGCAAAATGCTGCGTTTTACAAAGATTCTGGATAGGCATCAAGATATGTGTTCACGAAAGGGTTAAGTGAAGATTAAATTTACTGCTAATTGGCTGCTGAAACATTCAAACATTTCAGCCGTGATAACCCTATTAGGGCCCCAAATAAGGGGTATCGATCGCCCATTTCAAAATGCAAATTTTTACCAGGAAGAATCTTAGTTGCCCCCCCTTAGGCTTACTACGGTAGCCATAGTATGAGGATTAGATCATTTGTGCATTCTCTGGCAAACTCCTCGTTTGAAGAGACATGGAAGGCGCGTCGTTAAGTATTGATCAAAATATTCAGCCCGGAGACATCGACATTTATAAAGTAGCTTATCCTTGGTACTCTGCAGGCGTAATGGACGTCACTTCGATCGTGTCACTCCACGGCTGAGAGAAGATAACAATGTTGTAGCTGGAGTAGTCGCAGTTGCGATCGTCACAGGCTCCAAGTTCGTCGTCCGTTTCCACGGGGCAACCCGCCACCTGGAATTTGTAGTTGGTGCCGGCCACCGTTTGCGTCTCGAGGTTCTCGATAGCAATGAGGCAGATCCTCGTGTCCACATTCTTGTTGTACATGTTGGCGCTGCTTGTCGCCTGCGTGAGAAGTTCGATATCGTCACTTGTTGCGTTCTTCTGCGTGTAGCCGCCAAGAATCGTCGCTCCCTGAGCACTCGAGGCAGCCAGCGCCAGGCCGGCGAATAGAGCGATGGAACGAGTGAAAGCCATGATGAAAGAGAAGGTCGGACCTCTGGCTGAGAGCTTAAAGGGGTATTCTAAGCTGCTGGAGCTTGGCTTGGGCAATGCGGCCTCAAGCGTTCGAGTTGGGAAGTGAGAGACGTCCAACCACTGAATTTTCGTGTGTTCGACATGCACACAGCCTTGGGTGCCCATCCCTTTCCATAAGAATTTACATTTCTGTATATATTATGCTGTTCTTGGCTTTCGTTTTGAGCGCCGTCCGCCTCGGCGCCGCCGAGTCGGCGGATCGATGTGCGGTTGCAAACGAGTTCACCTGCTTGCCTACATGCCCCCCAACTTGGGGCCCCAAGCGCTGTGACGCTTGAAGAGTCTTCAATGAAGAAGACATGTTGAATTTTACTACGTGGCCAGCTGTGGAACGCCACGCTTTTGCCCGTCCAATGGATCGGTCAAGCATACAAACTCAAAGTGATCGAAGTTCAGAACATGTCAACGGCTGGGAGCAAGGCAACTAATAGGATGTCACCAGTGCTCCGCTAGACATACGCGGCGTTGGGAACGCATGGACCAATGACCTATAATGACTCCGAGACGCTGTTCTGGTTGTGGATTCTGGCTACAACACCTGGCTCCTTCATCCCCTGTGGGCACGAGTTTCGAGTATATAAGACGGCTTCGGAGGCTTAAGCGAGCCTGCAGATGTAGATGGATGGACGTCAAGAGCTCACTAGATGTTGTTCAGCAAAGGAGAGGCATTTGTTGCCAGTGGATATTGCAGGTGACGGTCCCCTTGAAGTATAAGATCATCCAACAGGTATTTTTTTAGCTGGTAAACTCCGACCTTTGCGGCTATCAGCAAGTACACCCACAACAAATTTCATTCTGGCCCACAAAAGCGATACGTGCTCTATTCCTAACTTCCACAGTGACCGTATTCTCATTGAGAGAATTTGGATCACATTGAACATCTTCTGGGGCTACGTAGACGACTTTACCAAGGCTACCGTTTACCTGACATCTGTCGACCCGCTTCTTCCTGTTCGTGTCCTGAGGATAGCGATCCTCACAAGGGATATCGGTAGCAAGATGAAGTACTAGTACAAGTACCTGGCTTCACGTCTACCATTTTGTAAGTTGCATCACTCACCGCAGTTACCCAAGATCATGAGGCTAACTTGGTACCTTTCGACATCTTTCGTTGCCAAATTTGCAATACTTGCGGGTTTGTTGCTACGTGGGACAACCGGCACACCTTTTGCAAACAACCCGGTGACCATTGTCTCCAGTGCGACGTCGCTTTCCCATACCAGCCCTGCCTTTGGTGGCATTGCCCCTGGTACGAATTTGAGTGTCCTCACGTACGAGGTGCACGAATACAAGGTCACCACGTTCCACAGCTCCAACAGTAGTTCTTCCACGAGCACAACTACAACAAAGAATGGTGGCAAGACGAGTACCACCACCTCGACAACTTCCAAAAGCTCGTCTTCTACCAAACAGTCGGCTGTGTTCAAGAGCTCGATAATCGAAATAGGCAACAATTCCATAGTGGGTGGTATGCATGAACGCGTATTGGAAGAAACCACGTCGGACATTCAAAAACTGGAAAAACACTTTGGTACGCCCTTGGAGCTCAACGTGAACAACTTAGCTTCAGATGCAGCGTACTACGTCATGCCTTGGCCTAGTAGCTACTGGGCTATTTACCTCGACGGTATCAACTACCGTTGGAAGTCCGCTAGCGATCTCAGTGCCACTGAGAAGTACGCCAGCGCCTTTGGTCTGGACCCAGATGATCTAATGACGAGTGTCTCCAAGTCCACTGGCGTCGTGTCGATGGCCGCGTCTAAAACCTCGTGCTGGACGAACTGGGACTGTGCTAGCAGACGCGATGGCAGCGTCTGTGCTCGACGTGATGGAGAGGCTCGAGGCTACTGCATCCCGACCTGGTACGGCATCTGTCACGCTTGGGCCCCAGCGGCTCTACTTGAACCCGAGCCAAACTGTGCTGTCGACTACAACGGCGTAACATTTCAGCCTATGGACATCAAAGCTCTATTGTCGGAAGTTTACGATGGAGCGAACCTCGCAACAGTCTTCACAGGTGCACGATTCTACGGCCCGGATACCGGTAGTGGTGACGACACTGACGAGTATGGGCGGTACACTGATTCCTCACGTCGCGATCTCGGGCCTGGCTTCATGCACGTCGCTCTTGCCAACATCATTGGACGGTTCAACGCTTCCGTTGTCATGGATGTCACAGCTGGTGCGGAGGTGTGGAACCAGCCCATTTACAGCTACAAGGTGCTCACTCAACGGGAAATGACGCCAGGTGATGCAGCCAACCAGTTCTTCCAAGTATCAACGTACCCATTCAACAGTGCAGCTCAACGGATCATGTACGTGGAGACCAGTGTGTCCTGGATGGTCGAGACATTCGAAGACGGAGGACTTGTACGTTCCGGTCATGCGTCCAAGTATGAGACCAGCAAGACATACACATATCTGCTTGAACTGGACAACAACTACAATATTCTCGGTGGTGAGTGGGTAGAAGAATCACAGTCGGATCATCCGGATTTTCTCTGGTTCCCGAAAGCGCGTCCGGATCTAAGTCTCGTCACGAAAGTAGGACTCAGTTATCAGAACGTCCGGATGCTACTCGACATGGCTACAAAATGTGCGTAAGTGTGTTACTTGTTGACGTCTATATGTTGCAAAAATTGTATTTCTATTCATGCGTTCAAAACCTGGTGACTTTTCTAAAAGCTTAGCAACATTTCTTTTTCTTCTTCCCACTTTGGTGTGAAGACTCTAGTTCGTCGTGATCGCCATGTTTCTTCTTCCTCTTGTGCGAGCTAGACGAAGCCGACGAGTGACTGCTGCGTTCTTTGCTGTACATGACGTACTTGTCCTTCTGGTTGAGCTCGGTAGCCAACGCAGCGAGCTCTGGATTGTGCGTTTCGAGTTTCTTCAGCCACTTAACGGCCATGCGTTTACGACCGCTGCGAGTTTTACGCCACACGGCGGGAAAGTTCTGCGAGCTGCAGAAGTTTTGGGTAACTGCCACTGTGTCGTCCACATTGAACACAGCGTGCCACCAGCCACCAGGTATAAACACCGTCTCGCCAGGGTATTGCATGAACTCGATACACTGCAGTGTCTTGGGTGAATTCGCTCGCTTCAGACGTGGCAGTAGGTCCATGAAGTAATTGACAGCTTCGTCGTCTTCATCTCCTCGGATAAATTTCTTGCCATTCACGACAGTCTTAGGCAAATGTGGAGGAAAGAGAACCCAGCGCTTGCGTCCGACAATCAGAGTGTTCCACGCACTTGTGCCTAGTGGGTCCAAGTGCAATGTGGTTCCGGAACGCTTAGGTCCAACTAGGAACCAACGGTAGGGCGGGCGTCTGTCTTCCCCCACCAAGGAGAAGAGGTCTTCTGGGAAGTACTTGGGTACGTTATAGTCGTCTAGTAATGGCTTAGTGTCTTTATGGTCATCAAACGTGCTGTCGAAGATGTAGAGCGGACTATCATCCGTCTGGTTGTTAATGTACGTCATGAAGTACTTGAACTTCATTCGAATCGACTTGCCGTGGTCATCCTCGCCGCATTTTAATTGCACGCGCTTGTATTTTTTCCTGAGTTTCTTTAAGGACCAGTGCTTTAACGCACCCCATCCGTCAGCTTCAGGTACTCCATCGATCACCACAGGCACCGCTGGACGCTCGTACTCGTCGATGAACCTTTTGACACTCAGTTCACTGCAGTGCTCACGCTTAATTGGATTCGACTCATCCAGAGGCAAGTCACATACATCTGAACCTGCAAACCCCTCGCGATTCCAAGCCTCAGGGTCGATATCTAGCAGAAAACATGATTGTTAGTAGCTCGAACGGTATGTTAAGCGTACAGGTAGATAGAATACCCGATCGATGTTTCTTCTTAGCGCTGTGTAGTACACGCTCAACCTTCGGAGGGTACACTGGAGCTGGGACAGGTGGGAAGCGCGGGACACTTGACGTGGTGTACGCGTCACTGTCTGACGATGAAGACGACGATGAAGACGACGAATCCGACGAGTCTGATGATGAAGAAGTGAGCGAGGGAGAGCGACGGAGCTTTTTTTTGCTCTGCATGGCCATGGCTCGTTGTGTTCGCGCCGGTAGATCGAGAGCAATGAAGCAATGGCGCGCTCAGAGCAGCAGACTTTGGCATAGAACGGGAATCAGAAATGAGCCACACCAGAGCCACACAAACTGAAGCGATGTCATTACAACCCCTCATGTCACTGCCATATCTATTATAAGAACACAAAAGTTGTCAGAACCCTCTACAACAGAAATATATGCCTCCACCTCGAAGCTTATATTTCTCAAGTCAAAAACTTAAAATCCATGGACTACTCGGTGTCGACGCAGACTTACGTCAAGCTAGTGCTGCACGCAGCCAAGCGGCCGGCGAACTCCGTATGCGGCTTATTGCTGGGAACAGAACAAGGCCAAGGCTTCTCCATCTCGGATGCTGTGCCACTTTTCCACCACGAGGCTCCTCTAGCGCCGCTGCTGGAAGTAGCGTGTGCCATGGTGGACGCGCATTGCCAAAAGAGTCAAAAGCTGCAGATCGTGGGCTTCTACTACGCCGGAAACGGGTACTCGCCATCTGATTCCAGCAACGGACTCAGTCACTTCGCCGAAAAAGTGGCGGACAAAGTGGAGCAGAACAGCTCGCGAGCTTGCGTCTTGGTGGTGCGTTAAGTCTCGGTCACAACTCACACTTCGTAGCTCTAAACTCGACGTTTGTATGCAATATATAGCTGGACGGCCAGCAACTCAATAGCGAGGCCAAGACGGGACTCCAGATCTTACTCAAGGACGTGAAACGCGGCTGGACTAAGGTAGAGAACCGACTCAAGGTGGCGGATGGAGCGACCAAGACGGTGACGCAAGGAATGAAGCAGAACGTGCAGAACGATGTCGTGGACTTCGAAGAGCATCTGGAAGATCCCAGTAAAGACTGGCGGAACCCTCACGTAGTGGAGCTACTTAAGCTCAACGTATAGAGAACCGATACAAACTCAGAGAGACTCAGATTTGTCAGTCAAAAGAAGCCCACAAACTCTCTTTATGTTCTTTTAGAGAAATGCGTCTACAAAGCGACGGGAAGTCTGGACGTATACTTCGCGCTGTATACTCTGCGCTGGCGACGAAGCCAGAGATCGTAGGTAGTTCGCCAGCAGCAGACGCGCGTTCTCCACGTCCCAAAGCAGCGGATGAGCGTGTCGCAATGCACACGTAAGTCGTCCGGCAGCGGCGAACTCGCGCTGCGTCACTAACGCGCAGACGACGTAGGCGCCGCTAGATGTCCAGAGTGTTGGCTTTCTGTTCGTATCTTGCAGTACGAACGCAGTAATCGACGAGTGCAGACCATGTTGCAATAACACAGCGACGTCGTAGCGTAGTAGAGCGAGTTCCATGACTCTAGACCAGCTACGAGACGTATGTGGCCATTGACGGACGACGGACAACGCACGATCGATATGTCTCGCTCGTAGGCCATCGAAAGGACACGTAAGAAGCAGTTGAAGTGCCAGCTCGACGTTGTGGGCCTCCCAATGCACTAAGATGACTGCTTCTGTGACTTCCTCTTGGTCATTGAGCTCTGCGTACGCGTGTGTCGTGTACCAAGTCAACACGCGAGCGCCCCAGACGCCACGTGCGAAGAGCGCTGCCCAACACGTCGCGTCGTCATGGGATGACGCTGTCGTCTCACTCGCAGTTCCCACTTGGAACTGCGTAAGAACACGCGCTTCAACTGCACGTTGTTGCTCGTGTTGCCATGCTAAGGCACTGCGTTGTGCAGTCCCGTCGACGCCGCCATCGTGACGTATGAGTAGGTTACTTAACGCCATCGTTGCCGTCTCTGTAAACGTCACAGTCTTGGGGTTGTCGTCACTACAGCACAGCTCAATGAACGCTAATAGTTCTTCAAACACTGCAGCGAAGTGGGTGGAGATGTCGACACTTGGAACTTCAAACACACGCAGCGCATCCTCCTGTCCGTCCAACTCGTACGTGGTTAACAGTACAGACCACACTGCCTTGACGTGAAGGCCGAAGTCCCAATCCGTATTACCACTACTTGCGGCTGTCAGTACGTGGCTGAGCACTGCAGCTTCTGTCCACTTGTGGAGCTCTTCTCGAGACGCGATCAACTGTCCACATTGAAACAACACTGCGTCACGTACCGTGGCTACGACACTTGCGTCTTTCATCGATGCAAGTCGACTCAGTCCGATCTCCTTCAGTAGCGTAGACGGCGACTGTGATAACAGTGTGACAACACGTTCATAGACTGCACTTGAGCTGGTATTTCGAGAGCTGCAAGTGGCATCAAGGAAGCATCCAAGCTCTGACATATGGTTACTGTTGGGAGCACTTGATCCTGTCACCCACGTCCACACGAACTGCTCTACCCAGGACGCAGTCGGCTTTGTCTCGTTGTCCATGCATCGCTGGACTAAAGTGGCCACTGCAGTCTCGTACTCTTGCGCGATTATAACCTCGCTGCTGGCTTTGCTACCACCAAAAACTAGACATAACTCCATGACGAGACTTGCGAGTTCCACAGAAGCTACACGTTGACAAAGCTCCAATAGTACAGTGCTGTGAAGCACTTGTTCATTGGCAGCTTGTTGCAGAGAGTCCATCGCAAACCAGGCTTTCAAACTCGACAGCAACGTCTGTGTCTCACCAGTGACTACCAAGCCACTCTGCTCGACTTCACTTAATACTAAGAAGCAGACGTTCTCGGCCAGTTGACGCTCCAAGTAATGCAGTTCCTGCTCCTCCCTCTTGAACTGTGTGGGGTCCCACGATATCGAGGACGATGACGACGTAGACGACGCAGACGAAACATTCGAGTGCGACCCCGAACTTTGCCACGAACTGTACTTGGTCAGGAACAGCGTCAGTGTCTCTGCTACAAGCTCAACACGTTTCCGAGCTGTCAACAACGAGCCAAAGTGTTGTAGACCGTTCAAAGACTGTCCGTAGAATTCCTCATGAACGTCCAGATGCGCTATTAAGTCTGGTGGGGATGTGCCACTCGATCCGTCCAGGAACAAGTAATGGAACAGCATTAAGTGCTCGTTCGAGAGGACGGAGAGACACGGGACACACGACTCGTACGCGTACACTGCCAAGTCTGCAGACAACGCTCCTGTACTGTTGCCAGCGCCATGTTCTCTCCAGATCCCTGCGAGTAAATCGTTCATGTAGATCAGGACCATAGCGCTGGGTGTTACGCGATGTAACTTGCGTAAGATCTTGGTGACGAGCTTGATGGTTTTGCCGGTGAATAAGGGACGTACTGCTTCGACAGCCACCTTTCTATTGGCTACCGCATCTGTCCGTGACACTGTCAATAGCTCGGTGGTAGTAGAGGCTGCACCGATGAGCTTGAGGTCGACTAACACGCCGTTGTTCAGCGCGTCTCCGATCTCTTTGAGCTTCTTCAAGCACATGAACAACAGCGTGATACGGTCGATCGAAGACTTGTTCAAAGGGAAGAGAGAGGACGACAAAGAGTCCGTGGACGCTTGGTAAAGTCGCTTGGAGCATTCTAACACCATGCGCAGCACGAGTAGCACGCCAACGTGATCTGTTCCATTGATTGTCTCGTACAAACTGGGCTCTCCTAGCGTCTCTCTCTTCAGTAGAAAGTCCCCAAAGACTATCGGTCTCTGCAGCGCTTCCTCCAAGATATCAACTTGAGCGATAGCGAAGGCCTCGTCCAATTGCTCACGACGACCCACTCGACTGGTCTCGGACGGACAGAGCAGTGCGTGTTTGATGTACGCCAACACACACTCGTACTCGTCGACACCATACTTAATCGCGAACTGTCTGGCGAGCAGCAAGTGCTCTTTCTTCGTGGCCAACATCATGATCTTGTCGTTCCTGTAGCTGTCGTCAAGAGAGAAGCGCTCCAGATCCAACTCGGCGTTGAAGAACGCGCTCATTTGGTCCAGCTCCTGGGACTTTTTCTGCGAGATCAGCCGCTCGTGACATCGTTCAGCTAGCTTTGTGTAGCGCTGGTCTGACACCAACAGCTCCGGTTCTATCACGTTCTCTGCTGTCACGTCACTTAGCGCTCCACTTTGAACGTCTCCAGAGCCAACAGCTCGACGTGCGGCATCATACGAAGCAGACAACGTTTCTAGACGCTTTCTGCGAGTTAGCAGAGCTTGTACACTGTTGTCCGTCGTGTCGTCCTTTGCTCGAGCTGCTTGGAGCAGGAAAAAGTGGTGTAAGCGACGCACGACGACCGCATATTCACTGGAGTCTGGTACAGACGAGAGGACTGTATCGGTGCAAAATATTTCGAAGCTGTCATCGTCAGCGCAAAGGTCACTAAACAGCGTTAAGTAGCTGCAACAAAGCTCCAAATACTGCTGCCAGTCTCCATGGTCACTGGTACATAACTCGACAGCTTCTTCCACACACAGTTGAATCATTTGCTGGAGGAAGGACGCTACAGACGCTGGAGTTTCGACTTCAGTATCACTGTTCAGCGTCACCTGAGTGAGTTGCAAGCCACGCTGTAACAAGCGTAACAGGAATTGCCGGTCGTTCTTTTCTTCATGCAGCAGCTCCACCACCATCTTAAGCTCATTCAGCAGCACAGCTTCCGCACTGCCTATGGCCTTACCTCCAGCTAGACGACCTTGCTCCAGGTCACTGTCGGACAAGCCCAGCTCGAGCATTAAAGCTTGAATCGCTTCGATCTTCTCAAGCCAAGACAACACCAAGTCTGTTACGTGATGCGCGAAGAGATCGAACGACGAGACGTTGGCAGCACTGAATACTGCTGCACAGAGTTTGCGCTTCTTACTCCATGACCCGAACGAGGACGAAGACACAAGATCCAGCACTAACGACACCAAATGCAGCAGCGTAAACTTGTCACTGCTGTGGCTGGTTGTGACTGCATCCACCTCGTCTGGAATCCCGTCGATAACTTGCATGGTCAAGTCGTACGCAACGTCAAAGTCCATACAATACAGCGCGGCGTACGCTCCTTTCATCCAGATCTCGAGCTTGTGCGAGTCGACACGCAGTAGCTTGGCCACATGCAGCACCGCAGCCAGAGGCCCACTCCACGTCTCAGTAGCATCCCCATGGTGCTGTGTTAGCCACTCTCTTGCTCGCGCTGACGGCTTGTAATTGCTCGGGTTACTCACAAATACTTGGCACACAGCATCCAGTCGAGCGCGGGCCTTCTCTTCTTCTTCCTCTGAATGACTCGCTCGAAGCTGCGACGGCGACATTTTCACTGCTCCATACGTCAATAAGTCCAGCAACTCACAGGCATGCGCTCTATCTGTCTCGACCGCCAACAACACTTCGTAGTGTTGCTTAGCTCCAGTAACTGCGCGGTCTCCGTCGTCCCACACGGACAGCAATAGCAGTTGCTTAACGATGTTGATGCAGCCCAATGCCGCTTCATGGACCTTATTCGCACTCGCATCCTCCGAGTATCCCGTAACAGAGTCCAACGCCGCTCGAATTGTCCCGAACAAGGCATCCAGAACATGCTCCACAGCCTCCACGTCCGAAGCGATCCAATGACTCACTAGGTTCTGCGCAGCATCAATGTAGGCGCGACCAGGAGCTAGCAGATGCTTCAAAATGACGTCCAGAATCATCTCCTGACTCAGTCGCTCACCGAACGCATGTTCCTTCAGCTTGATAGCATCTTGTAATACCTCTAGCCACTGACTTCCATCGCTTTTATCCTCGTCATCAGAGTATTCGTCAGATAAAGCAAACGCGCACATTTGCTCGAGCAAACTACGAGGTCCAACGCTGGTATCTGCGCTTGCTAGCATTCGATACTTGAGACTGCTAGGTGACGACACGACGCCGTATTTGCTGAGTATATCCATCGTGACCATGAGATCTTCCATCTCGTCCACAGCTACTTGTAGTTGCGCGATCTCAGGAGGATCGTGCTCTTTACGAACAGGAAGAGACTGGAAAATAGCCCACAGTTGCTCCACTAGAGCGACATGACGCTGTATGTACACTTCTTCGTCCACGTTGGGCGATTTATCACCGACAATCTCGGAGGCGTCGACGGAGTACACGACATCGACCGCAGTCTCGATAAGTCGAGCGTTGCTCTGAATGTATCGCCTCGATAAACTGATAGACGGGTTACTGCGTTGGATCAGCTGAGCTGCAAGCGTCAGAGTTCCTAGCGAAGACTTGGACGCCATAGTCTTTGCCAGCCAAGAGAAGAGTTCATCCAGAGCATATGTGTGGTCTCTACGCTGCGAGACAAAGACTGCATCTAAACGATCGATGATCGGCGTGACGTCTCCTGTGATCTCCCGTTCGTCCGAGCCCACGACGATGATAGCTTGGTCTTGCATTGACAGTACAGCCCACTCACTCAATGGGAGCAAGCAGCAAGCTGATAAATGCAACGGGTACACGCACTTATACAAGCGTTCTGTATGCAGACAGAGCTCCTCCAGTGGCTTCTTGGCTTCCGGAGACGTCCATCCACTTAGACACGTGCCGAATAAGTTGCTCAGCTCGTACGCGAATGTAAGCTGACCGAAACGTGCATCCAACTCGAGGATCCTCCTGGAAAACCACTCGCCATACGCTGCAATGCGCTCTTCACGTTGCATGTTGGAGAACGCCTCAAACGCGACCAGCTCTTCGTCAGTTAAGTCCTGTACTCGATTTTCAGAGAGAAGAGGTATTGGAGCCACGCCGTCTACGCCTGAGCTGCGCAGTGTGTAGAACTGTGCGTCGTCTTCTACCTGAGTAGGAATCATCGGGAGTAACAGCGCGTATGTCGATGGAGACACCGACGGTGGCAGCAGCTCCAGAATATTTAACCAATGAGGAAGCAGATTCCACCCATGTCGTTGGAGTAAAATAGAGAGTGCACTGACACGCCCCTCTCGAGCAAACTGCTTCGCTGTCGACACGACAGATGAAGCTCTGAACAGCGCGTACGTTGCTCCATCAAAGAGCTGGTCACCTGCTACTGACGTGGAGGATACATCACACAGAACCAGTCGCATTGTTTCTAAGCGATAGAAATAGCGTTGGAGATCCAGTTTGTCCTGTGACAACTCAGTGCCATTCTCATTGCCGCCATTCACACTAACCCACGCATCCCACGCAACATCAAGGATCTTCTTCATACTGGCACTTGAGTCATCAGCGACCATCTTCAAACATTCCTCAAGCACCCACTTCTTGTCCGAAACAGCGCGTAAATGGTCCAAAGCTTCGATGAACTCGTCGCGCTCTCCACGTTTAAGAACTCGGGGTCGTGTGGATAGAAATACGATCTTCTGGAGCTCCATTTCTTCGTGTAGTCGACCAGATTCTTCCCGGTAATTCATCCATATACGACGGTGAATACCATCGACGTTAATACAGTCCCCGTGTTGCTCGTATAGTTGCGCCGTCGCAAGAGCGTCTTCGAACTTGTGTGCGTCCAGAAGCAGCTCAATAAATGACTCACTTTTTACGTTCTGGATCTGATTCGCCACCCAAAGATCTTGACTAATGACAAGCTCGTACGTAGTAAACACAGTGCTCTGCTTAGCAACCCCAGGAGTGAGTATCAGAACGCTAGTCACTGCACCCATCGTAGGTCTGTAGTGTCTTGTAGGAGTGAGTATAAGGCGACCTGTAGCCCCCGAAGAAGACACACTGTCGTTATCGCTGTCACTGGTTAATCCCGACACAGCTCCTTCCTCCGACTGAGCGATAAATCTCGAGTAGATAACGTTGTTGTCGGTGAGAAAAAGTGCCAATACGTCGGATGTCAGCCATACAACGCGCTTCATTGCGCTGTCCGGAGAGTTGACTGCCACGTCTTCTACCGTTTGCCACGTCAGCACCTCAGCGCAGATATCAATCTGTCGGATTGCTACACGTCCAAGGTCATCCACCATACTCATGTAGTTCCCATTGGGTGCGAGTGCGAGGTGACAGATAGAGCCTCGCATCACTCGGGTCTCTAAGGTGTCACCCCCAACTATCATCTTTAAAGGGGCAAGTAGCGTGCTCTTGACGCTGCTAAGAAGACCATCACTCTCCTCTGCAATGACAGAGATAAGGTCGGACTCGCTCTCGTCGTTCTCGTCGTCCAAATGCTGTTTCTTGCCCTTTAGAACCATTGTAAAGTCTAGTAATTCTGCGACGTCTTTGGAGTCCTTGTCACCCAGAACTTTCCAGACACTCAATGACGACGCTTGTTTCTCCACTAAATCAGTGCTAGGGTCTCGCACTCCTCCACTCACCACGAGTGTAGCACTCTTGGGGTCGTAACACGCGGCTGTGACACCTGCATGCCACTCCGTGAGCTTCTTCACCACTTTTATTGTAAAAATGTCTGTAGTATCTTCTGAAGTTACTGGGTTCATGGCATTTAGCGCCAATTTGGCCAATTGCACGCTCACACTGAGCCACACTCCGTCCTCGGACAGCACGAACACTTTATTCCCGTTCTGCGTCGGGAAGAACACGTTCACGATGCTGGTTGCAGGGTTCCAATGCTTTGAAGTAAGGTACTTGGCTGGTTCTAAACGTAGTACCAGTGGGGGTCCATCAGAAGGATCGGAAGCTTCAGTTGAAGCCAGCCATGCAGGACGAGCGAATATCCACATAACGCCTTCGGATTCGCCCTCTGCGCTTGCAATTCGACCGCTGACGACGAGGAATTTAAGGTCTGGACTCCATACAAGCGTCCAGTTGTTATCTTGGCTACGAGAAGCTTCAGAATCGCCTGGTTCGGTCAGTATATCGACGAGTTCTGGGTCCTCTACGTTGTTATCATCGTCCGTCTTAAACACGCCCAAACGCACGCATTTTTGCGCCGTTCGGGACCGGAATAACACGGCTAGATGCATCGTAGAAGCAGCTGAAGCTACAACCTCGAAGTCAGGAGGAAGTGACGCTACAGATCCTCGCACGAGCTCGCGAGCCGCTAGTAGCAGCGGCTCCGCCATTTTGTCAACGTGTCCAAGCCCGAGGATTAGTTTTTGATTATCCGGATACCAATTGCCGGATAATTTGGTCAAATTTGCTCATCACGAAAGATTAGAGCGGACCAAAAGCAAAATGGCCACCAAGACGCGCAAGCCGGTCGTCAACTTCCTGCGTCTACGGGCGCCCATCCAGGAGCAGCTCAAGATCGAGGAGGCGCTGTTCCGCGCAGACTCGAATTGCAACTGGTTCATCTACAATGACCAACACTCTCTGCCCACCATCGTCATGGGCATCTCGGGCAAACCGGAGCAATTGTTGCACCAAGACGCCGTTAAGCGGTGCGTCTGTTGCAATGATGAGGCCATAAAGAGACTGACAGAATGATGGTGACTGCTTAGAGATGGTATCCCGGTGCTCAAGCGCTTTAGTGGAGGTGGCACCGTCATTGTGGACCACAGTACAGTCTTCACCACGTTCATCTGCAAGCACGAGGACTTCCCACAGGTTAAACCTTTCCCGCGCGAGATCATGGCTTGGTCGCAGAACTTCTTCTCGCCTTTTTTCTCGCGTATCTGCAAAGAAGACTTGGTATGCACAGTGTATTGACTGGTATACCTGGCATGCATCGACTGAGTTTGTCGTTTAATGCTTTAGAAATTCTCACTGCGGGAAGACGACTATGTGATCAACGACCGCAAATTCGGTGGCAACGCACAGAGTTTGTCTAAGGGTCGATGGCTGCATCACACATCGTTCTTGTGGGACTTTAACCCCAAGAACATGGAGTATCTCACCAACCCAGCACGTCAGCCTAAGTACCGTGAACAACGCAGTCACCTTGAGTTCCTATGTCCGCTAAAGGACGTGCTGAAGGAGGAATGCGCCAACCGCGAGCAGTTCGAGAGCGAGCTACACGCAGAGCTAGCGCACAACTTTGAGATCGAGGACGTGACACTGGAGGACGTCAAGCCGATCCTGGAGAAGGAGCACCGCAAGTCCACCCACTTCCTGGAGCTATAGAACTCACTGTCAGAACAGCTCCATTTAGTCGGCTGATAGAAATATGCATCGTCATCAAAAGAAATAGTCATTTCTATCCAAAAGTGGCAAGCACTATTGACGGCAAGAGTGTATCACGACCGGAAGGTTAGTTGTCGGACGAAATGAGGCCTAAATAATCATCCTTGATGGTTCCGATAGCGTTCTACAAGTAGCAACCAGAAATCCTCGTCAGATATGAATTAATACACTCACACCGGATACTCGCCACTTACGATCTCCGTGACGTCGACGCTGACGCCCATGATCTTGAGTCGCACACCACAGCCCTTACGGATCTCGACTTCGCGATCGTCCGAGATCCACGCGTTGCTCTCGTGGTCGTAGCCGTTGTTGAGGTCCGTTGGCATGGCGTGTCGGGACACGAAAACCTGCAGTGGCCCCACATCGGCGAAGAATCCAAGCTGGTTCACGACTGTCACGACGGCGTCCAGCACCTGGTTCTTAAACGGGCGGAAGAGAATGGCGCGGTAGCGGATATTAAAGCACACGAAGCCCGAGTTGTCCTGGATCACGCCCTTGCCGATATCCTCGTCCCGCACCTCTGTGACAGTGATGACGTAGCCATATTTGCCCATCGACGTGCCCTCCACCTCCTCGATTAGTCGCAAACGGATAATATCGTGCAACTTAGGCCCGAAGTGCATCGGGTGCAGCAGGAGATCGCGCGAAAGCTGCTTCAGGAAGAACATGGCGGGCAACGACACGAAGAGCGCTGGTGCAAAAAAAATAACCCCAAATGTGTATTTGGACCACCTGAAATCACAAAAAGTATTTTGCGATACACAGGTGTCCTGTCTTTACATGATTTACTGTTATTGGGCATTTCAATGCTTTTGTCCTTTTCACTTAGCCTATGTAAAAAATAGAGGTCGTTTTATTAAATCGAGGCCTTGAAAAAGTACAAATCGATCTACACCATCACTCTAATTAGTCATGCCATGACTAATTATAGTGTTTAGGTTGATGCACAGAATTTTGGAAATGTAACTGCCCGCTATTTAAAAGCAACTAGTTTTTATTTAAACCAAGCTTACTAGAATAAAGTAATTGCCGAGATCTGCCCAAAACCGCAGCTTTTGTGTAGCCTTCTAAAATATCCCAAATTTGTGACGTCACTAAAGCGCGAATGCACGATTAATTTCGAAGCACGACTAACGTTAATTAGGGGCTGGTCGCGCTGGCTGGTGCTGGTTCTGGGTCTGGTGCTTAAGTTAGGTTTAGGTGTAAAGAGCGCTGTGATTGACTGCCGCCAGCTGAGGGGTAGGTTAATGTTACTACTTTGGGACAACTTGAGAACTTGCAAAAGAGTTGAGTATCCGGGTTCTAGTTGGGCAGTGGATGGCAGCATTTTGCATTTTGCAGACACTGTGATCGGTGTCTTCCGCCGCTCACTCATGCCCGTGGCGAGAAGAAGCCACGTTACCTTGAGGGCTGCATTGTTTTTTGCGCTGCTAAAGCGGTCCGCGTAGGTGTCAGAACGCAGCGTCATCAGATCCTGCACCATGCTCTCGGTCCAGTCAAGTATAGCCGAAGGCTTCTTGCCACTTGAAGCTGGCAACTTCTTAGATTTATTCCCCTTCCTACGCTTGGGGACGGGTCCTCCGCGGTCGACCGCAGAAGGACTCGACCCCGCGGTGCCACCCAAAGAGCCCGAGAGGTTGGCATCCGCTTGAGCGGGTAGCGTGGCGCTGGCCGCTAATGTGTCACTGTTACCGACGAGCAATCCGTTAATCTGGGCTGCTTCTGGCGCGGGGTAGCTGACGATGTCATGGATCCCTGCGGACCCGCTCACCGGACGCGTAGGGGGCATGGTGTACTTGAGCGCGCGAAGTCTAAAGTGAACACTGCCAACGGTTCTACAAGGGACGACAACCACTGAAAACCAGACAGCGTCTTTGTAACGGGGTACAATCCAGTGTGCCCCATGTTACATAAAGAGTGACCCGTCACTCTTGTGGACACCTGGTACACGGTACCAGGTGCTCTCGGAGCCAGTCAGTGCATGACTACTTAGCTCCACTATAGGTAACCTCTAGTTTGTATGAGACCCAAGCTTATCTTACTTATAAATACATCAGTCTTAAATCTACTCCTCTAAGTAGCAAACCGTTCCCACTGAGGCCGGGAACACGTGGACTTACGTTCACTCGGGTAGTTAATACCCTTAAGCACTTCCTCTGTGCAAGGTGCTGTGTGACCCCGTCACACTTGGTAGCACTAGTAGTCAATCCAACACCATCGCGGGTAGATTGAACTACCTGAATCCTCTGTGCGCTCAACGTTTGAGCCAAGATGGACCGAAGCGAGTTTCCTCGCTTGAACGACTCACAGTACGAGTCTGTTCGGAAGATGGGAGGCATCTTTGGACAAGATGTCCTTCGCAGCTTGGCGGCGGCGACGCCTGCCGAGCAACAAGAACGCGTGACCGCGTTTGAGACCTACGAGCGTGGTCTCATCGCTCACGTCCGCGGGGGCTTGGAGGCCACGATGGCCGCTCCCCAGGCAACCAGGCCTAAGCCGGTGTGGCTGAAGGTCCCCGCGTTTGAGGGGAAGGAAGGAGAGAACCTTCACTTCTGGGTCCGTGAGGTGGAGATCGCCATGAAGGCGGGTCTCATCTCGGACGAGCCAGTTCGGGTGGCGTTTTCCCTGTCCAACCTTGGTGGACGTGCCAAGCACTGGGCATACACCAGGGAGACGACATCTCCTGGATGCTTTGCATCCTGGGCTCAGCTGTGTGAGCAGCTTCGAGCCGCGTTCCTACCGGCGAACGACGAGTTCCGCCAGCGCTCACGCTTTCTCGCGTGTAAGCAAGGTAAACGTGAGCTGCAGGAGTACGCGCAAGAGATGCGCACGTTGGTGGCATCTCTGGCAGGGAATCCTCTGCCTGAAGACATTAAGCTAACAGTCTTCATGGACGGCCTGAAGGTCGGTCCTGCTCGCACCCAGCTATTCCAGGTGCAAGCGACAACTATGGAGGAGGCGATTCGAATCGCCTTCCAAGAAGAGTACAGCCACAAGAAGGCTGGTACTCTTCGGGAAGAGGAACATCGCCACGATGAGAATGGCGTTCCTCGGGAGGCGGAGCATCGCAGCAATGACGCTGTTGCTCCTGCTGTCACGCAGCCCGCTGATACCGGTGCGTACAGCGAGTCCGAGCCCATGGACTTAAGCTCAGCCGAGAGCTTGGTCCGCTGCTATGGATGCGGCGGACATGGACACTACCAGCGTGTGTGTCCCTCGCTAGTCCTCGGGAAGAAGACGGCCCGTGGGCCCCAAGTCCGGTGGCGCAGGCCACGGCCAGGTGGACGAAGACTTCCCGGCCACCAGTAGAGGCGGTATGCCCTACTGAAAAGCGCTAAGTCTTTGTGATGGGTGTGCAGGTTGTGCACACCACGGGACTTAGCCCAGAGAGACGTGGTTCTCTCAAACCGGTGAAGGGCAGTGATGGGCTGCTGGTAGTACACTCGGTGTACGGGGGTACGGTACCCCTTGAACGTTTGATGAGTTCTGGGGCGTTGATACGCCGCTGGAACGTCGCTTGGCATAGCGACATCCGACTGCACTCTATGTCAGAGTGGCGGTCATGGGCTGGTCCTTGATGGACTAGCCTTTGGTACGGTAGTATCAATGGTCCTCAACGGACCTGAACGTTTCGGCTCGATGAGCTCGCGCACCGCGGTGTCGCTCGCAGTTCTCGCCATGAACAACATGGCTGTGCCGAACATAAGGCACAGCCCGGACTTTGGTGTGGCAAGGCTGAGAAGGGCCTACCAGTCCAGGTCTATGACGGAGCATTGGTGAGTCATGTTCCCACCTCCGTCATGACTGGGGCGTCTGATACAGACCGCCAGGACGCAGAAGCGTCACGGAGCTGTCAACGCGCCGACAGCTCTGCGTACAGCAAGACCATGCTACGCTGCGGCAATGCCACGGGCATGGGCCTTTTGCCCGGCGTGTGGACCTGCTACACCAGCAGCGTCCAACGCCGAAGGTCGTCGCGCCGTACGGGCTTCGACAGTGGTTATGTCTTTAAGCGCTAACCAGGTGGGTAACTTAGGACCACACGGTCGCCCAGACCTTAACTGAAGAGGAAGGCACTGAATGCGCTTCCTGTGTGGATAACACAGTACCACACGCAGTCGCCCAGACTATAACTGAAGAGGAAGGCATGACCATGCTTCCTGTGTGGGTAACACAGTACCACACGCAGTCGCCCAGACTATAACTGAAGAGGAAGGCATTGTCCATGCTTCCTGTGTGGGTAACACAGTGCCACACGAGGTCTCGAGTGCCTCTGATGTCGTCAACGAGACATCACGACGTGGGTAACGAAGTGCCACGTCACGTCAGCCGCCGCAAGTCGGGTCTGAACCTTGTTCAGGCCGACGTCGCTTCAAGCGACTCGGAGTCCAGGGCCCGGACTCCTCTGACTCGGTCGGTGGACACCAACTCTGTCCGGTGTGTGGGCGGGTCTGCCACACCAGCCGATCCCAACACCGAAGGTCGTCGCGCCGTATGCGCTTCGACAGTGGTGGTGCCTAAGGGCATTCACCAGGTGGGTAACATAGGTCCACACTGCGGGTAACAAGTTCCGCAAGCAGTGAAGCTGCTTAAGGAGACCGACATTCGGTGCTCCGAGCGTGGGTAACAAAGTTCCACGCAAGGTCACTCAGACCATAACTGATAAGGAAGTCGCTGTATGCGCTTCCGGTGTGGGTAACAGAGTTCCACACCCACGGCGAGTAACATAGCGCCGCACACAGAGCCATTGGCTCGAGGCGCGAGGTTGTCTTGGCCTCGCCAGACATGAGCAACTCGCTCGACGTCAAGTCGCGCAGACTCAAACTGCTGACGCGAAGGCTGAATGCCTTCAGTCGACACGGCCGACGCGGTCGGCCATACCGACGCAGTGCACATGGCGGAGAGCCGTTGCGCCTGCCAGTGGCTATTAGAAGCCACGAGAGACTCAGTAGTCTCGAGGTTAAGTGGGGGAGAGGCTCGGAAATACCTTTCCTCCCTGACTTTCCAAGAGGCAGGTAGCCGTCGTGCTGCCAGTGGCTATCACAAGCCACGAGAGACTCAATAGTCTCGAGTGTAAGTGGGGGAGAGGTTCGGAAATACCTTTCCTCCCTGGTCTTGAGGTAAGACCAAGTTCCTTACGGAACCAGGCGTCGATGTACATCGACTGCAGGCTGGAGGCGAACAGCCGGGCTAGAGCTGCGGTAGCTCTAGCCGAACAAGACATAGTGGCGAAGAAAGCCACGGGCGCAAGGTGCCTCGGAATCGCTGAGCGAATCAGCAGTGTTGGGGTTGCAAGCAACCACACACGAGGCGAAGCGCGGGCCTAGTGTAAGTCCCTTGGTCATGAACGACCTGTCGAGTAGGGTGAACGGAACGTCTCACCCGCCGACAAAGCGGTTGCGGTACGTGATGTACGCAACGCGCCGTGTATAATGGGCCGTGGAGCCATAACCCAAGTGTGGTGCACGAGTGCACACACAACTGACCAGGTGGTGGTCGAGGCAAGGCACGCAGTCGTAACTGGTGCCGCGCCGAGCATGACACCGTGGCGACGGCAGCTTGCCTCACCATGGGTTGGTACCCGTGAGTACTCGGTGTCAATGCCAGACACCAACGCCGCAGTGGCATGGTGGTGAGATATGCCCCACCACGGTCGAGTACCATCAAGGTACATGGTGTCTGTGACAGACAC